AACAGTTGAAGTAAGGATGCACGTGAGAGCGGAGTGTCTCGACCGTCGAAGTGAAGTTGTCGAACTCCAGCGTACATTTTTCTGCATAGATATGTTAAGAATACAGGCACGCGTTTGATTGGGAAGATGACTGAAGCTCGTTTGAAGAGAAGTTTTTAAAATACTGTTTCATAGAAGGTCGAAAGAAAAAATAGTTTTTGACCTGTAAAAACCTATAAATAGACCGTTTTGTGGAAAAGAGGTCAAAGCTTTATCTAGTACAATGCGGGAAATATTTCAGAGCTCGAGATTTTGGAAAGAACAATTTTTGTCAAATTGTTTTTTGCCACCAAAGTTTTGGACACTACTCTGGAAGTATTAGTCAGACCCGTCCAAAAAAATTAGTTTCTCATCGCTGCAGTTTTAAATTGTCATGAATTTCTAGTTCTGATTCTTTGGCTCTCGGCATTTTATCTCTAGTTCGTATTTCCCGGATTCTATTCCAGTTCATTACTTCCGAATAATGCACAGTTGAACCAATACTTTGTTGTTTTACAAAAAAGGAGACTTTCTTGCACTTCAAAATCAGGGTCTAAAATAATATTGCTTCGTAAGGAATGTAGATGTTCAAAATGCCCAAACTGTTCTTACCTAATTCGTGTCTGCGGACTACTTTCAAGCCATTCGGTCGCTGCATGCGAAAGTACAGCTTCATTCACTTCAATCGTCGCATCAAATTGTTCATATGTATACGAAATTGTGTAGAGAAACAGTTTGGCATAGGTTTTTGTCTGAAAATGACTCAGTTCATTCGCCGAAGTAGTATTACTCGAGCATACATAACATTGAACTTTGTTCCACTTGAAATCACCACCAAACGTTTCCAATACATCCGACACCACTCTCATATTTTTCAGGCTCTCGCCTATCGGAAACCTATAGCGCACATTAAAATTAAATTCCTGCTGCTGGTCGCTCAAACGAAAATATTCCATTGTATTTGATTTGTACGTGTAGATGTTGAATGCTCGAAGAGATGAGAGAGAAGAGAGTGAATAAATCACTGTTGTTCTGTAGACTAATGTGAAGATGTACGATAGACGAAGAGGTTTGAGGGAGTAGTGACAGAGCAAAGCTGTGAAACGAATTGAGAGAGAGGTGTCTCAGTTTATGACTTTGGAACAGATGGGAAAGCAAACTCGTCTGCAGTTCATTCGGTACACTATCTATTTTCATATATTCCACATCGACAGCCCTTCCAGCGAATTAATCGGTTCCACCACATGAATCGAAGTGAGAAAAGGAAACATCGTCTCAACCATCCCACACGATGGTGCTCGCCGATCAGAAAACATAAGTTTCCGAGCAGACGATGAGAGAGCAGCGATGATATGGGTGAGGTAGGTCGATGTGAGATCGAGTGTCTGTTTGTACTGGGTGATGGTTTGAGATAGGCGAGTGTTTAACTGAGTGAATGCACGTAGAATGTCGATGGTGGTGAGGTAGGCACAGATGAGGAGGAGAAGTTCATCGGGGAGATGTTCGAGGCATGCGACCATTTCTTCTACTCACAACAACAAGTGCGCATGACTTACTTTTGTTGTTGTTGAAGGAGAAAGGAAAGAAAGAAAAAGGAGCACTTGCATTCTTATATGCCTTTTTCAAGTGAAAGCTCATCAACCTACTGGAAAGGTGCGCAC